CCTTTGTCTTCCTTGCTTTAATAAAAATGTATTAAATGTATAACTTTTTATTTTATTTTAATTTTTAAATTAGAACAGCCAGTGTGTGTGGCTATTCTAGGTTTCGGTGACTCTCCCTCTTCGCCCCTCACCCCATTTCCAGCCCCCAGGCCTCAAGGTCTTCTCAGAGGTTTCCATTAGGAGGCAGGCTGCAGTGCCCTGGACGGCCCTCACACCTAGGACCTCAGTTGCGCCATCCAAGAAATGGGCGAGCTCAAATGTCCCTGACTTTCCTGGAAGGAGAAGAAGGAGGCGTGGAGGGCGGCCGGGAAGGGCATGGAAGCAAAGGCGCCGCGCGGCGCCGGGAGCCAAGTGACGGCACTGGTCCAGCCGCCAGGTGGCTGCCGGACCCGGGAATAGAGCCTGGTCTTTTATAGTGGGGCTTGCGTCACGCGACTGGGCGGGCGCCTCCGCCCTGGTCTCGGAAAGGCTTCCCTGGGGCGGGGCGGGCACGGGGAGGGGGGGGCCCCGGGGACCTCTCGGTGCCTGTGCACGGGAATCGCGCCGCCCGACCGGAGTGTCCGCTGGGGTGCGGTTGGTACTGGGATGTATGCTTGGCGCGGGGGACCCTGGTGTGCCTGCAGTCAGTCCTTTTCAGCCTGACCTCCAGCGGCTGCCTTTCACCTCAGGGCCAACCCCCACCCTGTTTCCCGTGGGCCAGGCTGAGTTTGGTGAGCTGTCTTCTGAGGGGGCGGGGGATGGGGGGTGAGGAGTGTGGGCGGGGAGCCGAGGCACGCGCAGGCCCCCCGGGATCGAAAGGAAAGATGGGTGAGGCTCCTAGCCCTCTCTGCCCTACCTCCCCACCATGAGTGATTAAGCCTCTGGGTCTCCCAGTAGGGACCCTGTAGATCAGAGCTGAGTGAGTGCCTTCAGGGGATAGGGGTGGTGGAGGAGAGCTGGGAGGTCCCCTGGTCTCTGTGCCAAGGAATAGCTGTTGCTGATCACTGTCCCAACACCAGTGCCCATTCTTCCCACTTACACACACATTTGGGGGCAGGGGCAGAGGAACCAGGAAAGGGGAATCAGGCTGGCAGGGGCTGTGCCATGGTCAGTGCAGAGAAGGGACAGTCCAGGGTACATACCCCTGGGACAGCCACAGGAAGGCCCTGTGCCCTGCACTCCCAGGTCACACCTTCCCTTTGTTTACCCCCAAGTATATCTCAGGTTTCACCCATACACAAATGTGTTGAGGAAGGAACATGAAGGAACATTAGCCCAACCTCACTAACTCTCTGCCTGGCAGGTAACACCAACAGGGAGGGGATGAACTTGAACTCTTCCATCCTCTCAGCCTCAGGAGGTCGATCTAACCAACTCTACTCCACAGATGAGGAAGCTGAGGCACATTTAGGTTGCAGCGCAGGGCAGAGCCAGGATGGGAACCTGGCCCCTTCAGCCCCTGGCCTGGCACTTCCCTGCTGTGCAGTACTACCCACAAGGCCACTGTCCCCTCAGCTTGTCCTTGCTTGTCCTTTACCTAGTGCCTGAGGCTGACACTCCTGTTGATGACAGCCTTGGTGGCCTGAGGCATGGGCATGTCCCAAGTGTCCTTCCTACTACACTGTCCCCAGTGGGACCCTCCTAGGCTCTGCTGTTTCCAGCAATTGCCCAGGTGCATTGTCCCTGTTGATTGTGTCTCCTGCTCCAGAAACACGAGCCCACTCTCTCTGGCCAGGCCAGTGCTCTGGGTGTGATGGAGATGGCACTGTCAACCAAAGCTTCAGGGATAAGGATGGTGACATAGAGAGACAGAAAGAGAGAGAAGGTGCAGAAGGCAGAGAGGCCAGGACAAGGACCAACTCTTGGCAGGGATCAAGTGAGGGGACCCCATCTGCCTTCAGCGGTGCAGACCTCAGGGACAGAGGGAGGCCTTTTCCATGTTGCTTGGCTAAGTCTTAGACTTCAGGAGTGGAGGAGTCTGGGGGCCTCCCAGAGTTCATGGCCTTTGGAGGGGGCAGGGGCAGCAGGGGTCAAGCTGCTTCTCCTCTGGATAAATCCTACAGGTAGCCCACTGAGGAACAGCCCTGGGTGGATGCCATGGGTGGGAGTCTGGATGCCCCCTGGCGCCACCCCAGCCCATCTCCTTGGCTGCACCTGGAGAAGGAGGAAAGTATCACCTCTAGGCAGCTGCTACAAGTCTAGCCCTGCTCAGGGATTTACGCCGCATGTCATGAGAAGACATTGAAGGCTCTTTCAAGGCTCACAGCCTGTGACTTGGCACATGACCATGGCTGTAACCCTGGGCAATGTGTCTAGCCTGGCTGAGGCTCTGTACATATCATCTCATTTAACCCTAATAATCTCATTCAACCCTCAACATGACTCTGTCATCAACCCTTTTCATAGGTGAGAACTCTGAGGCTGGGAGAGGTGTGCTTACCTACTCAGGGTCATATAGTTAGCATGTGACACAGTCAAGGTTTGCTCTCAAGCTTCAGCAGGCCCGTCTTGTTAATGCCAGGCAGATTATGGGGACACAGACATCAGCTCATCTGGACCTTGCCCTGGCCCACCAGTGTGGCACCCAAAGGCAGCTCCAAGATGCAGGGTGGCTCTAGTCAGGCTTGGCCTGGACTCTCTGGACCCCATGCAAATCTGTTCTCCCTGGGGCCCTTGGACCTAAGGCCTGGAAGGAAGCCCACCTTCATCCCTTCTCTGCCCTTGCCACAGCATAGCTAGCACAGCCTTAGCCCCTCTGTCCCTCTCTGAGTACATCACATTTTCCCTTGGAATCTCCAGAGGAGAAAGATTGGCTGAAGCCAGTGTATGCTTGCAGTCCCTAAGCTCACGAGTCTGCACATCCTGAGGATTAGGAAAGTGCTTCCTGTTGTCTAATGTAAATCTTGTCCCTGTAACACCAGTATATGTCAAACAGTGATTCTCCAAACATTGGCAATGTTTGGAGACATTTTTGTCTGTCACAAGCTAAAGCAGGGAGGTACTGTCATCCAGTGGGCAGAGGCCAGGGATGCTGCTAAACATCCCTATAGTGCCCAGGGCAGCCCCCACAGCAAAGAATCATCTGTCCCAAAGGTCAGTGGTATTGAGACTGAGATCCCTGATGTAAACTGTGGGCTTTGGAGCCAGACAGACCTGGGTCTGAATCTGTCGCTGCCACCGACTAGCTGTGTACTCTGGGGCAAATTGCTTCTCCTTTCTCTGAGCCTGAGTTTGCACATCATCAAAACGGGCACTAACAGCAGCCCTCACCTCTCGAGAACTATTCAGACTGCACACATCCAGCACCCAGCACAGAGCCTGGTGCTGGGTAGCCTTCATCAGAGATTATTTCCTTCTTCCAAGGTGAACCACAGGGAGTGAGAACAAAGGTCTGGTGGCTAGACCTGGAGTTCCTCAAGGGACAGTCCTCCCTCTGGCTGCAGTCCCTGGCACAGGGTGGGCCTACTGTTTATGTTGAGGGAGAGGCTGGATTGGCTTACTGTGGACCTGAAGGAGGAGCCAGAAGGAAACCCAATCCCAGTGGGCAAAGGTCACTTGAGGCTCACCTTGTGCACTCTTTCCTCCAGTCCAACCCTGGGGAAGCCATGGGGCATGGTGGGTGAGGTGGGATGGGATCAGGACACAGAACATGCTAATGAATATGGTCCTTCGCTCAGGAAAGTGCCATGCATTACAACCGGGCATCAGGGAGGAGGGGCATTTGAATGGACACAACCAAGGCAGGTGGAGGTGTGGGGGTGGATGGGAAATGGCATTCAGGCCCAGAGAACAGCATGCTCAAGCCCTGGGTGTGAAGAGAAAGATGTCTTTCACAAAGGATAGTCCTGGAACCCACCTGGTCTGGCCTTTCCTCTCCATCCATCTTCCCCAATCTCAACCCAGGTTCCTCCCACCTGAACATCATGGCAGTCCTTCTATTCCCCATCCAGCCTCTCCTCTGCCCTGCTGTCCCTTTATCTCACAGGAGCCCTCTTGAGCCTGTCTCTCTGCCTGATTCTAACAGCCGTCACCACCTTCTCATTGCTTCCTGTGAAGACGGAGTCCTGGGCATGGGCTATCTCTGTCACAAGTCCCTTTCTCAGCTCAGGCCACCTCAAGGATTGTCCCCCACTTCCATCCCTTGTATCTCAGCTGGGAAGAGCTGTCTAGATTTTCCCTATCCCTTCTAGGTGGTTCCCCAGAACCTGGAACCCTTTCTTTTGTCTCCTGGAAAGTGACATTTCTTTAGACGGGTATGAGGCTAATGTCTTTGCTTTCTGAGCTCTGGGGCCTCCGAATGGACTCCCTAGAACCCCAGCTGGTCCCTAGACTTTGAGCCTAGGGATACTCGGTGAATAGATGAGTGAATGAATGAATGAATGAATGAGTTATGGCTGGCAACCAAGTTCCACGTCTGGAAAGGAGGCTTAGGCGCCTGTCTGCCAGGGGCGATAGAGAGGTCTCGAAGGTGGGGGCAGGAGAACAGAAGACCGCCAGTCGGGGTAGGGGCCGCTCCCAGAACTGCCTGAGGAGAACTGCAGCAGCCGACCAGGGAGAACCTCAGGTCCTGGAGTCTATCTAGCTCCGTCTACGGGGCAGGGCGGTGACGGCGGGCCTGGCGGCGGGCACTGAGCCCGGCCGCGTCGGAGCTCCAGCCAACAGGAAGAGCAGGAGTGGGGCCAGGCGAGGCGGGCCAGCTGGCCAGTGGGGAGTCCCGGGCGTGGGCGTGGGGAGTGGGGGAACCCCCGCCGGCACCTCCCAGGCCCCAGAGGGCGGGGGGCGCCTCCCCGCCCGGCCTCAGTGTCCTCCTCTGTAAAATGGGCCCCTTCTGAGGGCTGACTGCGCGCTAATGGCTGGAGGGTGCGTAGCGGTCCGGGGTGGGCAGAGGGGCCGGGAGACCCAGCGTCCCGCGCAGACAGAGGCGGAGGGAAGGCGTCCCTACTCGCAGCTGGCGGGGCGGGGCCTGGCGGGGGCGGGGCCTGGCGGCACCTGGGTGAGGTCGCGCGGCCCCGCCCCCTCGCACTTCCGTGTGCCGCGGCGCCGGAGCCCGAGGCGGCTGCAGATCGGATCCCCCGAGCGACCCCCGGCGCCCGCCCGCCGCGCAGAGGCCCGGGTCACACCTCGCTGGCCACTGGGCCTGTCGCGGTCAGCCCCGCGCCGACTCCCGTCCGCTCGCGCCGGGGAGCCGCGCCCCCGCCGCCGACCCTTGGCGCCTGCCCCTGCGCCTGGAGGTGAGTGAGGGCCGGCCCTGGGCGCGGAATCGGGGCTACCCCGAGGGAGCGGCGCCCTTCCGTCCCCCTCCCCGTCCTCCTCCCCGTCCCGGTTCTGAAACTGAGAAACTGAGCCGCGGTCAGCAAAAGTCCCGCCGCGAGCCAAGACCTGCCGGTGACTCCGTCCCCACGTCGGTCTGTCTGTCCCTCTGCTCGACTGTGGGGGCGGAGGTCCTTCTGTCCGCCTGCTCCCAGCCCCTCCACACGCCTGTGTGTCTCCCGCTCCTCCGAGGGGCCCGTCCGTCCCTCCCGACTCTGTCCCGGGCCCTGCGTCCGTCCGTCTGTCGCCGCCTACTCTGTGTTCTTCCCTGCCCGCCTCTCCCAGACCCGGTCCGTCTGTCTCTAGCCCTCCGCGTGCTCCATCGCCCCACCCCCACCCCTGCCCACAGCCCCCTGGATCCGATCCTCCCGGAGCCGCGCCCCCGGCCCACGATCGCCGCCCCCTGTCGGTCCAGCCGCTCCTCCGCTCTACAGCGGGGCCCAGGCCAGGCCGCCCGCCGGGCCTCGCCTCCCGCCCCTGGGTCTCTGGAGGCCCGACCCGCGCGGCGCCTCCTCCGCGCTGTCTCTCCTTTCGGTCTCTGAGTATTTCTCCGTCCCTTCCTCCGTCTCTGGGCTAGGCGTGGCTCCAGTCTCCACCATCCCCCTTCCTTCCCGCCCCACCCTCCGCCCCTCTGAGACCCCTCCCTTGGGGGCCCCTGCCGGGTGCGGTCTTTACCCGCCCCCAACCCAGGTGCCGTCTCCGACTTGGGAGCTCCGTCAGGTGAAGGGAGGAGGTGGGGGGCCCTCCTGGCTCGTCGTGGAGAGGCAAGAAGCGAACACCATCGGAACTGCTCCCACTTCCCCAACTCCCTTACTCTTGGGGCGGGGGAGAGCGCCACCGAGCCCCCACTTAAACGTGGTCAGAAGGATTTGCTGTGAGTGGGGGTTCCCCTTCTCTGATGCCTACCCTGTATGCATGGACACTGTCTCCTTGTGCTAAGTCACTGGTATCTAGGTGTGTGGATATGCTGTGTGTCTGTGTCAGCTTCTGTGCTGTCACTGTGGGTCTTGCCTGTGCATGGCGTGTCCTTTTTCACATGTGTGACTTGCTGTGTGTCTGTTTGTATGTCTGTTTGTGTGTCCTGAGGCTCCGTGTGTGTCTTTTGCAACTGTATGTACCATTCTTGGTATGTTTGTCACCAGACTCTTATGTGTGTATGTGTGTCTTTTCCTGCCAGTGTGTAGGTCCCTGTGTGTCTGGAAGTTTCAGTGTTGCATACTGGGTATATCATGGTGACTAACTGGCCATGAGTAGGTTAAATCTGTTCATTGTGGAAGCCCCTGGTGTTGGGTGCCAGCCCACCAGGCTCATGTGTGAGTGTATGTATGAGTGTGTCTATGTGCATGTACTCACGTGTGGCTCTCCTTCTTGAGCTTCTGGGACCAGGCTCACCTGGTCACTAAGGGAGGGGACTGATCCCTGGGGTTTCCTCGTTCCTGCTGTGGAGCAAGCTGGGGCGTGGTGGGCAGGCCAGCAGAGGGAGGCTGTATGACACGCTCGCGTGTGTGTGTTTGTGTGTGTGTGTGTGTGTGTGTGAGTGAGTGAGAGAGAGGTGTGGAGGTGTCAGGGCAGCTGTACCTGGCTGAGGGGTGGTTTGAGGGCAGTGTGATGGGACAGTGCTGGGGTGAGGCTGGCAGTGTGTGGCCATGGTGGGAGTGTGTGACTGGTGGGACAGTCTATGAAACTGCCAGTGTATGCTTGGGGAGTGACTGCAATTGTGGGGAACTGAGAGTGCCTGGGCGTGGGTGTTAGTGGTAGAAGGGGGTGTGACAAGGTGTATGGCGACAGTGCTGGGAGGGAAGGTGAGAGTTCAGTGTGTGTGTCTGTGTGTTTGAGTATGTGGGAGACCACAAGGCTGCGGGTGTGCACATGGAGAGGGCTAGAGGGCACGTCTTGGGATTTCTGGTGATGTAACCAAGCTCTTGGTTACAAGATCTTGGGACCAAGAAAGCTCTGGGACCAAGAAAGACCTGTGCTCCAATTCTTGCTGTGCCTGTTAAGAGGAAGAGACCCAAGCTAGGCCTCTCAAGGCTCAGTGTCCTTATCTGCAGAATGGAGAAAGTTGTGAGGACAAAAGGTCCTATGTTAAAGGTCCCTCAGCACAAACTTGGCCCATAGTGAGAACACAGCACATTCAAAGTCTTATGTGGTCACCACCCCTAGCTGTATGGTTCCCATTCTCCTTGGAGCTGGGGCTAAAGAAAGCCCAGACAGTCCCCAACCCAATTTCCTGCCTGTCTGTTGCCCCTTTCCCATCTCCTTGACCAGGCTGCGTAGGGGAGGGAGGATACCCAGACAGAGCCCCCAGTACCCAGCCTTGTTCAGCCTGTATGACAGCCCCTCCCTCACCAGCCCTTAGTCTCAGTAGCAGTGATGGGGGAGAGAGGGGTGGAGGGTGATTCGGAGCTGTGACTGCAGGGCGCTGACACCATTTAGCTGGCACAGTTTAGATTAAAATTAGAAATAATTTAAAGTACAGACAAAAAGATAAAGCCAATGATGTCCCCAGGGGATGGTGATGGGGGTCTCCAGCTGGGGGAGGGGCTTACATCTGGGGAGCAGAATCTTTTGTGGAGGCTTGAGCCGGCCTTCAGAGAAAATGCTTAGGCCTTTCAGCCAGGAGACATAGGGTATCTTGCTACCTTTGCCATTCCTTCCTTCCAGGATGTCTCCAGGCCTCAGTTTTTTTCAGCTGTGTAATGGGCACAATAGTAATGTGAGAATCACCTGAGCTATAAGGCACAAAAACAAGAGATTAAAACATGTCTTTCTTCAGGCTGGGCGTGGTGGCTCATGCCTGTAATCACAGCACTTTTGGAAGCCAAGGTGGGTGGATCACTTGGTCAGGAGATTGAGACCAGCCTGGCCAACATGGTGAAACCCTGTCTACCAAAAATACAAAAAGTAGCTGGGCATGGTGGCATCACCTGTAATCCCAGCTACTCGGGTGGCTGAGGCACGAGAATTGCTTGAGACCAGGAGGTGGAGGTTATAGTAAGCCAAGATCGTGCCACTGCACTCCAGCGTGGATGACAGAGCAAGACCCTGCCACCTTAAAAAAAAAAAGTCAGGCCGGGCGCGGTGG